CCCGTTGGGTGCTGTCGCCTGTGCACGTGGCCATCTCTACTACCACGTGGCAGCTTGTGGTGCAACTGAAGACCCCCTTGCTCAGGGGGCTGCTCTACAGTGGTGAGGGTCTGCTCACACAGCATACCCTAGATCTGCAGATCTGCAGAGCTGCTGCTAGGGGCTGATCAAGATCTCAGCCCCCTCTCTCCTCCAGCTGGCTTGCTGCAGCGAAGACCAAGACCCTCCTGGTCTTGGTATACCTTGTGCCCTTGGAGACACCAAGGGTCAGGTATCACTTCTCCCCTCTCCCTACTAACCCACTTACTCTCCCTTTTCTCTCTCCTCTTACTCGTACCCTCTCCCCACCCCACCTTTTCTCCCACCACCGACCATTTTTATTCCATTCTATTCATTTTTTTTCTTTTCTTTCTCCTTTTCTCTTTGCTTCTTGATCCCTCTCCACCTTTCCCCATCCCTCTCTCTCTCATTCTCTCCCCCTCCTCTCACCCTCCTCTCCCCCAACTACCACCACAGCATCCCCCCTACCTCCTTCTTCCATCTTTTTCTCTCTCCCACCTATTTCTATCTTTTCTCCTTCACCTTTCATTCCCCTCCCCTCCTACTTCGAATTTTTTTTTTTCTGTTTTTCTTCTTTTTATCTTCTCTTGGTTTATATTTCCTCTCTTTTCCAAAAAAAATTGAATTATCTCATTCCCCACCCTCTTTTCTGATTTTTCGATTTATTTCATTTTCTTTTATTTATTATGAAAATTCGATTTTCTTTGCGGCAACCTTAAATCTGATTAGGTATTAGTCTTTCTTGCTTTCGGCACACATTTTGATCCCGTGGGGGTAACGAAGTGCTGCCAAAATTTTCTATTTTTTCTTTCACTTAGTCTTTTCGGCACACTTCGACCCCATGGGGGTAACGGCATGCTGCCGAAGTTTTTGAAAAATCAGATACTTCATCTCTCTCCACCTCCTCATCCATTTATTTATTTATTTATTTATTTATTTATTATTTATTATTTATTTATTATTTATTTATTTTTTTTTTGATTTTTTTTTCATTTGCGGCATCTTGAAACCTAGTGTGCTTACCTTGGTCTCTCCTTTCCCCTTGGCACATTCTTGACCCCATGGGGGGTAGGGAACTGCTGCTAAAAATTCTAAAAAAATAAATATTATTTCTCTCTTCATATTTTATTTCCTTATTTTTTTAATTATTTTTATTATTTATTTATTTATTTATTTATTTATTTATTTTTATTTTCTCTCAAAATCTCGCTTTTTATTTATTTGTTCTCCCGCTTCCCCCCCAATGCTTGCTATTTTATTTTCTTGATTAGGTCAGCAGTACCCTACTCTAGCCACTCAAACTTCGGTTTGGGTTTTTATAGGGTTTAGGGTTCTTCAAACCCCCCTACTTCCCCGTCCTATTCAGGCACCCTGGACCCGAACCACCCCTCCCCCTTTGACGGCGCCCGCGCTAGCCTTGCTAGCGTCGTCCGCCGCTTTCTACCGCGGAACCCTCCCTACGCCCTCCGCTCACGCGGACCTCCTCTGGCCCCCTCCAGTCCAGCCCGTCACACTTCCCCATGGCCGACGGTGTGTCACACGCCGCCGACGCGACGACGACCACGACACCGGGCTTCACACCCAACCCCAGGGGGATCTGCACACCCTCCTCACCTCCCTCCTTGCGCCCATTCAGGCACAACTCGCGATCCTCGCGCCCTTACAGGCGCAGGTGGCGACCCTTGTCGTCGGCATGCATCAACTCCAGAATGCTGCCTATCCTTCATCTCCTGGCTCCCAATCCAGGTGCCCAGTCCTTCGACAGGGTGGACACGGTGGAGCTTACTCCTCCGCTGCCCCCGACCCGGCCATCTTGGTGACCGTCCACGCCCCTAGCTCGACGGCTGCCATGAGTCAGGCCCTTCCTCAGTCTACGGGCGCACCCGCCCAGATTCCGGTCACTACGACCACGGGACCACAACCCGCTACCATGGTCTCAGCTTTTCTGGGTGCCCTTCTTCTCCCTCCCCTTTGCACGACCACAGCGTCACCTGGCTCTTCCCCCTCTGGGTTGCCCTGCGCCACTCGTGCGTCCACCTCTCCCACTCTTCCTCCTGCCACTCCTCGCTCGATCTACGTCCAATATCTCGAGGACGAGTTTGCCTATACCCAGGACGACCTCGCCCTCTTACGCCTTCAACCACCCCCACCCACGCCTTCGAGCGCACCCCCTCCTTCCTCTACTCTTCCTTCCATGCAGGCTCGCTTCCCTCGCCCTGCATCCTATCCAACCCCATCCTACCTTCTTCATATTCCCACGGTTGCTGCGACCTCTTCTGCCGCAGCTCCCTCGCAGCCTGCCGTCATTGCCCCCACCGCTCCCCCATGCGGCCAGCGCGCACAATCATCTGCGCCCCTTTCTCCAGGACCTGCGCCAACTTACTCAGCCGTAGCACAGGCCTCCGCTCCTCGATCCCCTCGCCGCCAAAACGGTGGCGCACCACTCGTCCGCTTGACGGACATTGCCTTGTATGACGGTAAAGGCATACGCGTGTCTCGGTGGCTATAGTCTGCCACCCGCACCCCCCAGCTCATAGGCGCCCCACCCGACATGTGGGTGGGTCACCTTTCCACACGCCTGCGTGGTGGTCCTTTTGACACATGGGAGGATTTCTACGCTTACCTATGTAACCGTTTGAACGCGGTGAACACGCGTTCGCGTTCAAATGTGCTTTTGAACGCGGATTGCACTTTCGCGTTCAAAAATTGAACGGCGTTCAATTTATTTTTTTTTTATTTTTTTTTTTTCAAAAAATATTTTCGATACCTAAATATATATTTTTTGTTCTGATGTTTCTTTTGTGAGTTCTATATGATGTGGGCTACATGTCTGTAAATTTTGGAGTCATTTTGCCAACGGAAAAACAAATGAAAAATCACCAAAGATGGCGGTGTCAAATCATGTTCGCCCACTAATTTCAATTCTTTTTATTTTCTGTTCTCTATTTTTATTTCGAATTTGACAGCGAATTTGGATGTGATTCTTATTTTTCTTCATAACATATTTTTTTTTGGAATTTTTAGAGATTTTTTTTTTTTTTTTTTTCCTGTGCGGAATTGAACTCCGCGTTGGGTCGCGTTCACTGAACGCGCGTTCATTCCGTTTAATTTTTGAACGGAAAACCCGCGTTCAATGATCTCGCGGTAACACAGACGCTTACTCCCTTCATGCGGGTCGGACTCCGACCTTCATGGATTTTCAGGCGTTCCTCGAGGATTGCTTCGGAGTCCGGCATGACGTGACTGACGCCTTCGAGCGTGTCTTCACTACACGCTGGTCCGGCTCTGGTGGCGCTGCCGGCATGGATCGCCACATCCAAGTCTTTTAGGACGCCCCCCCCATTTGTGACATGGCGTTCCTCACCGAAGCTGCCCTTATCGATCGTTTCTTGGCCAGCCTTCCGCTCGAGTACCGCTCCGAGCTATGGCGGTACAAGTTCACATCGGCCCCGCAGGCTTACGAGGCCGCCAGCGACCATCAGCGGATGCGGGCCCGTCTTCAACCCGCCTCCTCCCAGCCTCAGCGCACGGGCTACGCCTCCTCCTCCTCTCACGGCACTTCCCAACGCCGTTCCCCTTTCAGCGGTCGCCCCCGCCGTTCCGTGCAGCAGGGCCGCCACTTCTCGTGCCGCTTCAGCGCGCTCGAGTATGGTGAGCAGGACGCTGGTGCCCCGCTGTCGCCAGAGGGTGACCATAGCGAGGACCTCGACCTTGGCGAGGTCGTCCACCACCACATGGAGGACTCTACTCTCCGTATCGCCGAGCGTCTCCAACTCATCCTCTACACTCTCTCCTGGGCACGTAGCCGCCCCGGTCACGCTGGCACGTCGCCCCCTGAGGTCCCTCAACACGACCTCCCTCAGGGCTTTGTTCCTCCTCGCGGTGTCCTTTCCGCTGAGGAGCGCGCGGCTATTTTGGGCCAGCGTGGGTGCTTGCGCTGCCGCCAGGATGGTCATACCTCCTCGCGGTGCCCTTATACCACCGCCCTCGATCGCCACTACGCTGACCTTTCTTGTCAGCATCGTGCTGAGTCCCCCCCCGACGCCTCGCATCCCCGCGGCGCCTCCTAGTCACGGTGCAGTGTACACCTGCGCCGTCCTCAGTAGTCGGTTTCCCGACATCCCCGTCGCGGTTTGCCCCTCTCGCTACTGGACTTGAGGTCTCGCAGGACCCGACAAAGCATACTCATCCCTCTGTCGCAGTACCGTCTGCGCCTCCGCAGACCACCGTCTCCCCTCCTACCCCGACTCGACTACCGATGCATCGAGCCATTCGCGAGGACTTTGTGTCCTCTCTTCTGGACTTGAGCATGCTCCGGGCTCATCAGGAGCGACTCTCTTTATATCGCTGCACTGCGTCGCTTTATCACCATTCTCTCTGACCCTTATCGCACCCTCCCGATCATTCCACTACGACTGGGGACCTCCACGAGGGTGTACTCAGCGTTGTGGGATTCCGGTTCTCAGAGCGACTTCTTTCAACCACGTGTGGTGAAAGAAGCCCGCTTACCCACGACCGAGTCGCCGACTCTCATCTTTGTCACCCTTGGGGATTAGAAGACCCAACGCTTCTTCAATTAGACGGTCATCGACCTCCCTTTCTTGCTCACTCTCGAGCCGACTGATCGTCCCCCAGCGTCTCGTTGCCACCACTCCTTCGCACATTTCGATGTGATGGAGACGGGGTACGACTTCATTCTCGGCACTCCGTGGTCTTGTCGGTTCCCCAGCACCGAGGCCGATTGGGCGACCAACACTCTCGTTCTCAAAACGAAGTGTGGACAGACATATCGCGTACCTTTCATCGGTACCACTGCGACACCACGCCCCGATCCTCCTCCCCCGGAGCCTTTTGTGCCCGCATCATCTCCTTCTATCACTGTCACCTCGCCTCGGCAGTTCGCCCACTTCATCCGACAGGACAACATCACCTTCTTTATGGTGAACGTGACGGATCTCTTACACTATGATCCACCCTGTCCCAATGTCGAGCTCATCCCTCTGGAGCTAGATCCTCCTTTTATCTCCATGGCTCCCATCTCTACTTTCGTCCCTCCGCCGTCCGTCGAGTCCACCCCGCCGTCGCGCGCTGACGCTTACACTGAGGAACTCGCACGATATACGGCCGACCTGGAGCCCGCAGTTCGTGACCTCATTCGAGAGTACCACGACGTTTTCCCATCGTCCTTCTCGTACGCCGGCATCCCACCGATGCGCGACATCGAGCACTCCATCCAGCTTGTGCCTGACTATCGTGTTCACCACTAGACACCCTTCAAACTCTCGATCCCCAAGGCCACTGAACTCAAGCGTCAGCTTGAGGAGCTCCTGAGACTGGGTTTCATTAAGCCACAGGTCCCCCCGCCACCGAAAACCCCTAGTCCCTGTGAGTTAGGGCCGGGTTGAACAGAGGGGCGGCGACCGTACGGAGGCGCCGGGTTGTACGGAGGCCGACAGGTCCAATTCCGCCATTTCGCAATCGGCAACTTCGCCGATTTTTTGTGCTTAGAAGAAGTCATGAAAACATCTGAAAAATTGAGGGTCCGTACATTAGGTCGTGATCTTTCAGGGAAAAATATCTGGAAAAAAAAAAAAATCATTTCGACGCTGAAATATTCGCCGCACCGATTCGGTTTATTTTCATTTTTTGTCGCAAATTTCGTACGGAGGTCCGCCCGGTTTTCCACGTTGTACGACCGGTACCCGTCGTGAAACGGCGCTACCGGTACCCCTAGGTTTTTGACGTCAGGGGGACCTGTGGTTTAAACCCAGCAACTCCCCGTGGGGTGCACCCGTCCTCTTTGCTCGCAAAGCGGATGAAACTCTCCGTCTCTGCATCGACTACCACGGTCTCAACCGCTACACGGTTAAGAACAGCTACCCCATGCCTCGTTCCGATGAGCTGTTCGACCGCCTAGCAAGCAACCGCTTCTTTACGAAGATTGATCTTCGTAGCAGTTACCATCAGATCCGCGTCGCTGCAGCGGACCAGCCGAAGACAACGTTCCGATTGCGCTTCGACCATTACAAGTTTACGGTGATGCCAGTCGGCCTCACCAACGCACCCGCTACCTTTCTGAGGGTGATGAACGACATCTTCAGGGACATTCTAGAGTAGTATGTTCTCGTCTACATCGACGATATCCTGGTCTACAGTCGTACCCTTGAGGAGCACCTCAGACGCCTCCGCGACGTCCTTGACCGCTTGACATGACTTCTATGCCAAGCTGAGCAAGTGCCGCTTTGCCTAGCACAAAGTGGATTTCTTAGGACACTACGTGTCTGACCAGGGTCTCCACATGGACGACATGAAGATCACTTCTATCGCGCAGTGGCCCGTCCCCACATCCGCCAAGCAGCTTCGCAGCTTCCTAGTCCTTACCAGCTACTATATTAATTTGATTCAGGGATACGCTAGGTATTCCTACGTCCTCACCTCCACCCTCCTCCGGACGAACCCACCCTGCGCTTGGACACCCCTCCACGAGGACGCCTTCCACGCCCTCAAAAAAAGGCGGTGACATGCGCACTGGTTCTTCACCTACCCGATTTTTATCGCCCTTTTATTCTTACCACCGATGCGTCAGACTTTGCTGTAGGAGTAGTGCTTTCTCAGATTTTCCCCTCCTCCCCTAATTCCTTTCATCCTCGTATCCCTCGCGTCCCACCCCCTACCCCTACCACTGCCTCCCGCCTGACGCCTACTCGTCCAGCTACTGATGAGCCCTCTATTGACTATTCTCCTACCATCGCCGAGGACGGCACTGTCAAGTCTCGCTGACGTGATTGTCTGATAGCCTTCTACTTCCGTCATCTCCTCCCCGCCGAGATAAACTACACCGCTGATGAACGTGAGGTTCTCGCAGTAGTTTATGCCGCTCGGCACTGGCGTCACTACATGCGCGGGGCACTATTCACGGTGCGCACGGACAACTCTGTTGTCCAGGCTTTTCTGACAAAACCGAAGCTCACTCCTTGACAGGCTCGTTGGTAGCGCGACCTATCTGAGTTTAGTTTCACCACTGAGAAGATCAAGGGTGAGACTAATCGGGTCGCAGATGCCTTATCACGGCGCCCTGACCAAGACCAGGAGCAGATCCATCTCTCTTCCATCTCGGTCACCACCGTCCACCACTCGGTGATCGACGGGTTTCACACTCAGTACCGCCACTGCCCTGACTATCGCAACATCCATGCGACCCTTCGGAGAGGCAAGACCGTCCCGAAGTACTCTCTCCGGGACAACTGTCTTGTGTACTGGCACGGTTCACAGGGCACCAGAGAGCCCCGTATTTGTGTTTCCTCCACTGGACAGCTACGTGTCCGAGCAGTAGCACAGTTTCATGACCAGGCAACCACTGGTCATATGGGCTTCCATAAGACATTGGCTCGTGTGAGCCGCCTGTACGTCTGGCCGAAGCGCAAGGACTTTGTGAAGGACTACGTCGCAGAGTGTCCCACCTGTCAGGAGGTGAACAGTGCGAACCACCTGCCTTATGGTTTGCTCCAGCCTCTTCCTAACCCTGAGGGTCGTTGGCAGTCCATCTCAATGGACTTTATCGGTCCTCTTCGTCCTCCGACCCCCCGCGGTCATAATGCTATCCTGGTCGTCGTCGACCGCTTCAGGAGGCGTGCACGCTTTGTTCCGTGCCGCTATGCCATCAGTGCACGTGAGGTCGCCGACATCGTGTTTGACCGAGTCGTGACCACGACTTATCTCTGAGCATCATATCTGACCATGACCCGCGCTTTACCAGCCGATTCTAGCGACAGCTCCACGAGGTTTACGACACCCAGCTCCGCTTCTCCTCAACTTACCATCCCCAGACTAATGGTCAGACCGAGGTCACGAATAGGACTCCCGAAGATATTCTCCGAAAGATTGTTCGTGACGACCAGCAGTGGGATCTTCATCTTACCGACGTGGAGATAGCCTACAACCACGCCGTCTCACCAGCCACGGGGATGTCGCGCCTACAACCACGCCGTCTCACCAGCCACGGGGATGTCGCCTTACTATTGTGACTTCAGCTACCACTCTCGTGTTCCTGTGGACTTCCTTCGACCGTCACAGATGCACCCCGACACAAGTTGTCCCGCGCTGGATAATTGGGTTGCACACATGACGTCAATCATGAAGACCGCACATGAGCACATAGCCGCTTCCCTGACTCGCATGGCCGCACATGCGAACTGATTGAGGATGGATCATCCATTCAAAGTCGGTGATGATGTGCTTATCGACGCCTTCCACTTACAACTTGAAGTGGAAACGCTTCGCAAGTTTCGACATCGCTTTTTTGGCCCATGTTGCATCCTCCAGGCTATCGGTTCTGATACGGCATCTAGCCCGGTCAGCTTCCGTGTGAAGCTGCCCGACTACGTACGCCAGACTTGTGTGCACGATGTCTACCACGTCTCGTTACTGCGTCCCTACCGCAGACCGTATGAGCGTTTTGTCAGACGACCATACGAGCGCCCTCCACCCATCATGGTGGACGGCCACGAGGAGTTCCTCGTTTCAGACATCATTGGTCGCCGAGTCACCGACGACAACCCTCCTCACGTCGAGTATATCGTACGTTGGAAGGGTTACCCTGATGAGGAGGCTACCTGGGAGCCCCTCGAGCACTTGCAGCACGCTCGCAGGTTGGTACGTGCCTATGACCGTGCTCGTCGTGCTGGGTCGACTGCTCCCCCTCAGCCCACTGACCCTCCTCGTTCTCCCTCGGCTGAGGAGACCGCTGAAGTCGAGCCTGCCCCTTCTGAGCCAGACCTTCAGCAGCAGCCGGATGCTTCTAAGCGTCCACAATGCACTCGTCGGCGTCCTGCTCGATATGACGATTGACTCTGACTTACCTTCCCAYGTCTTTGACTTCTCAGTACTCCGTCCACATCAGTTTTGCTACTTCAACTCGTCGACGCTGCGGCTCTTCCTCGACGGCATTCCGAACTTCTCATCATGGACGTCATCGGCAGCTTCATGGACTTCGTCACGATCAGCTCTACCTACTTCACACGTAGCCAGTCTCTTACCACTTTACCCTATACAGTACCCTTGTTGTGTCGCATGATGGCCTCCCTTTAGTCGGGTTCCTCTGAGTTGGGCTCTCCCTTGGTATACA